TTACACAGGATATAGACGAATTCACCAGTTAGCTACTTTTTTGCGTAATCACCGAACAGATTTAGATAGTTATCATGAAGTGTCAGAAGCTTTTGAGTTTTCTCCCCAAAGTTAAGGTTCCCTGTCATTCCATCATAGATCATCGAGGGTGTCACTCACCACAGACGTGCCATGTGCATGGAAAACACTGCACAAAGCTTCAGAAAGATCGAACATACGCGAGTGATGATGGGGGTCAAGCAAGAACGTCTGTGTGTGCTGACGGCCTCGTTGCACTCGTGATGGTACCGCATGACTGCGAAGCCAGGGCGGCACCCTTATTTTCAGAAAGGGCATCCGAAAGCTTACGCCACGTCCACCTCATGATGAGTGCGGCAACCTGTCCGGTGATGATGCGGAGAACTAGCTAGCGCAGGTTCTGAATTATGTCTATATTAAAAGATTTTTAATCACTCTTGTATTGATAAACCGAGTGCTTGTATTGATAAATTGATAAACTGAACGAGCTCTTGGTAAACTGAGTAAACAACTCAATTATCCGTTAGTTGAAGAAAAAGAAGTGACCGTAAGATGTTTTTTTAAGGTTGGAACTACGCCTCTAAATTTTGTTTAGTCCTCGCAATCAACAATCCAAGTGTCAAATATCCATCGTTTAGAGTGCAGTTGAACTACTCTACGAATTCCTGAAAGGCGATTGTCTCTCAGCCTGCCACTATTGCGACAGTGAACGCGAACACTCGTTCGTCCTCCTTTATTATCCAGAGACGGCTCTACCACACCAGCCGTGCCAACCAACAACGGATCAACGCCCGCGCTGCGTTCACCGAACGCAACAACACACCCAGACGCAGTCATATCCAGTTGATAAACCTGAGTGATGAGTCTCGTGTGGCCTGAGCAGTATTATAAGGACCGGCGCAGATTAGGCGTGCCCTCTGCATTCATTTTGGTTAAAGCATAATGCGTATCAGACGAAGAACATTGAGCTGCAGTCAACCTCCATATACACCATACAATAGAAAGTCTGCAGAACCTGTGCGAGGCGTGTTTTTTTCCTTTGTATGACGGTCACATTGGCCACACAAACAACTGTCGGCAGACATGTATGAAGCAAGCACGCTTCGAACACGCTTGGGCATGTGAGCAGATAATTCCGTCCTTATGTCTGCAGCTAATACTATATCTTTTGTATGATGTATTTGCAGTGTGGCTGGGGCTTGAGCCGTTGTTCAGATTAAAGACCGACGACCAGTTCGCGCTTTCCACTTTTCCCCTCACTTCCTCCTCTCCCCCCGTCTACCCTGTCCACCGTTGCCTGTTTCCTCCTCTCCGATGGTGAGGAGGATCTTCTGCCTTGCAGAATCTCGAGTCTGATCGTCGGCCTTTAAGGTAGATTGTAGCGTAGACATTTGTTAGCAGTTTATGCGAGGGTAGTATGAGTACCTCCAGACGCGATTATCCTCCCTGCACTCCGCTTCACCTGTATGCGAACAAGCAGAAGTCAAGAGTGCGATCCTCTCGGTTTGAACTTTGAACAATGTTTGCATTGCACATGCGAACTACCCAAGACGTAAAGAAACCCGCGCCGATGTGATTGTGTGCTAAGAACACTATGCTATAGTCACAGACAAGGCGAGGACGGCAGGGTGCCGTTTTCGAAAGCCCGGCCTCCAGCGTTCGTTCGTTGCCTTTCACAATGCTTCTACTGCGTGTGCGTGTTCAAGGCTCAGGTGACGCCGAAGTATCGTGGAAAGTCACTCGCGTTGAAGGCGGGACAACTCAAACTCCTCCCTTCCATTCTCATCGTTCTCAAGCTATGACTGCCGCCACGTGACGGACGAATAAAGATTACGTCTGAAGGCAACGAATCGAAGAAAAAATAGACTCCAACTTACTGTTATGCGTTTTCACACGTGAAATCGCAACTGATGCAAACGCTGCCTGCACGGCCAGTGCGCACATTAGCACTTTTAACAAACCGAACGAGTGTTGTTTGTTGCAAGTCATGGCACTGTTGTGTACGGTCCCGACTTTAATACTCCGCGGTCTGCGCCTTCCACCGAAGAAACGCGCTCTTTTATTAAGTCCTTCGTGCACATCAGCCAAAGTTGGCAGTCGGGAGTGCCGCCCCTTTGTCTACGCCTCTTTCATCGCATACCTATCGCCCTCTTTTTTTTTTTTTTTTTGCGTGTCATTAACGCAGGAACAAATCTTTTCAAATCTGGCCGACCTGCCGTCAAGGTTCCGTGGCGAGCTCTACAATCTCACGTCATCATTATCTCGACGCCGCGTTAATGGCTCGTGGTTCAAATCACCCGAATCCGAAGACTCATTAACAGCAATTAAAAACAGAGTGTTGTGAAAGGGTTTTATTTTTATTGTTTTATAATTATGTTTCTTCCCTTTTCGACATCTTAATGGTGCATCGTGTCCTCGCCGACCATAGTGTCGCCTTACTTCGAGTTGAAACAGCCAAACAACCCGGTCCCCGACTTCTGCTTTCCTACGCTCGTTAGGTACAAGCGCTGTGTCTGATCGAGTACTGTATTAGGAGCTCGTTACGTTGATCTCCCGTAAGGTGACAACCGGGGGAAATGCCTCTTCTGTTGCTGTCCGTCGGGTGTCACATCAACCGGCCCGTAGGTTACGGCCAGTTGCTACGCGCCGTTCCCCAGTAACCTTCGTGACGAACGCCAGACCTGACCCTCTCGCGGCTGTCTCCTCGATGTTGCTTTAGCCTCGTTAACCGTAAATAAGGTCTTGATGAGGAAACGCTGTTTCGCGTCTTGTTCCGCAATTACTGACGGCCGTGGCAAATCCCAGGCATTTTATCATTGCTCTCCGACCAATGAGGGTGGAGCAATAGAAGATAAGAACGCCAAAAAACTCATCAAAACACACAAACAAAAAAAGTGAACACAGTAAAACGTGATCTTCGTTTCTTAAGCCGACAGTGGGAATAAATTGAAAACGGTATATCGCTCGTGAAGTTAGCTTCTAGAATTACAGACTGCGGCGTTTTACCAGTATGGCAGAAATGCAGTCTGACGCCCCGAGAAGCAAACCTTTTTGACGGGTAGTATCAACTCAATCTTGTCACGAGGCTCAGCTTAGTCATGTTATAGCGACTGCAGCACCCATTGTTAAATCTATTGAACTCGGTGATATTCAAGCCCTTTCTGTGGGCGTTATGGTCGCGGTGGTCATAGTAAAGAAGCCGTCAGGCTTTGATGTTTGAGGGACGCTAAATCCTGCTGTTGTTTTAGAGCGCAGCTCTTAGGCGCCCGTTTCCCGATTTCGCGGCGTCGGCGTCCGCGGAACCGCGCTAATTTTAGCGGGAAAATTGACGTCACGTGACCTCAACACCAATTCAGTTTCCCCACTAAATTTAGAGGGGGAAATGATGTCACATAACTTGGTGTCACGTCACCTATGAACAAAAATTCTGTTTCTCCGCTAGATTTAGCGGGATAATTTAGGCCGCCTGAGGAAGAGGAGTGAGGGGAAGGTAAGGAGAACGTGAAAATCAGAAGGAGGAGGAGAGAGGCGGAAGAGGAGGAGGGGGATTGGAGGAGGAAGAAAGGAGGAGGAGTAGAGGAAGGAAAAAGAGGAGGGGAGGGGGAGGGATGAGGAGCACGGGGAGGAAAGGAGGGAGGTCGAGGAACAGAGGAGGACGGGAAGAGGAGAGGAGGAGGGAGGAGGGGATGGTACAGAGGAGGAAGAGGGGCATACCCTCCCCTCCACACCCTCCTCTCCTCTTCCTCAAGAGCTGCGCTCAAATTTGGCGTTACAAAGATTTGTAAACGTCTTCATTTTTTTTTTAAATGGACATATAAAACTATCATCTATTTGACTCCACCCATTCTGCATGACGGATTGGATCTCAAGCGTACTTGAAATCTCGGACGCGATCGGCTAACTTTTTTGGGGAGAAGAATGGCTAGATGTTCGTTGTTGGCGGCTTTATTTCTTTAATAGTTGTTCTGCAAACAGATTCATTAAGTAAATATAGCTGTAGTAACAGCTTCGGCTTGCTCAGCTACTCTTGAAATCGTTGATAGCGGCGGTCAGAATTGCGATAATCAAAGCCGCTGCGTACGCGTACCCCCCCCCCCCCCCCCCCCCCCCCCCCCCCCCCTCCCTGTCTTCCTGTTGCGAATTCTTGTTCGTATTTTGGATGCTTTCCGTGCCCTGAGGATTTCTGCAGTATCTACAGCTGAAACGCTGTGGATTGCGCAACGGGCGGCATTGCTCATTTGAATGGAATCATTCTTTTTCAGCTAAGTCGTCCGCTGTCGCTTTGCTTGAGAAGGTTGGCCTAGAAGCAAATTGCAATTCCAAAGTGCGCAACGCAACATGATTTTTTTAATTTTTTTTAGGAGGAGTTATAGATTATATAAAAGGACTTACACGAAAGCAGTACTTTAACTCAACATACTAAAGAATTCAATAAAACGCTTCCCACCTTCGTGGTTGCTTCCTGCACATTCGCGCCACAGCCGATATCACAATAATCGGGCGACCAAAAGCTTTAACCAAACTCTGTTTTGGCTGGCCATCTATGCAGCGTGCAAGTTCATCTGCTCCTTTTGCAGGGGTTGTAATGACGTTAGTCATCTACAAGTTACTATCTCTGATTGAAAGATCTGTGCAGACCTTAACGCAGCTTGCTTTGAAGTTTACCCACTATCTTTCAATCAGAGCCAATCAAAGCTCGGCGTTCTGACGTCATTACAACCCCTGCAAAAGAAGCAGACGAACTTGCGCTCCGCATAGACACCGGACATCTTAAGAAACGCAGGGCGTGACTTACTATGCCCACACTTCTTGCTTTTCAATTTGTTCTTCGGAATTCGTACCCCCTGATGCCGCAGTTTTATTGGTTGCAAAGTCATAATAAGGTGCCAGAGACCGGCCGCGCCGTGTGTTTCTTAGGCTGCCGGTAACGGCTAGGTCGATGTAATGAGTCACACGTACTCCCTTAGGGTACTACACACACAAAGAAAAAAAATAGCTGGTTTTTATTATATATGCGAGTCATAAATAAATCGAGCCCGTTGGCGCTTTTCACGCGTCATGGTCCCACGCCACAGGAGTAGGCTCGAGCTTGGCACGTCTTGTAGGTGTCGTCGCAGCCGGTCTGGCTGGCGTTCTTGTCATTTTCGGCTGTGATGGCAGTTTGGCTATACACGGATCCCGAAACGCATCCTCGACTGGTGTGTCTGCCGTCCTGTATACATCCCGCCCACGAATCGAACGTGTTCCCGGAGTGGCGAGAAATTACGTCGCAGAAGTCGGTGTGTCATGCCATATCGCTCTCCGCGATCTGGGGGTTGGTCTTAGAAGTTCTGGCGGAAGAGGTGAGCCGACGCGAGAGTTGCTGTCGTCGCGGCGTCCCAACTCGTGTCTGATTTGATTTCCGTCAACTGTCTGACTGCAGAGCGAACTACAACAGGACAGGTGTCTGTCACGCCTACCTCCTCTGCTGGGCCACCACAAGGATCGCGACAGGAGAACAGCATGACAATTCTTCTTTTACGACGTCATCAGGCGGAAACCGCGGGACCACCTTCGAGGAAGCGGTAAACACACCAGTCGTGGAGACGCACTTCGGGCACCATAGTCGCTGCGTCCTACGATGCGCAGGTGGAAGTCGACGATTGGAGCGTGATGACGTGTCTGGGTTGGCTCGGCACGCCTTGCCTGACGTATCAGTGGCAGGTGAGCTGAGTCTTGCAGCATTTGGGGTAGATGCCCTTGCCCTTACCGAGGGTACAGTTCTTCGGAATGCCCTCGTGCGCAATTCGACCGCAACTGTGGAGAACGAACAACGGGAGATTAGAATACCTAAAGAGAGTATTAGGGGATAGGGTAGAAAAAGTTAGCTCTCCGCAAATGTTGCTTTATGAATTGTATTCAAACCCAGACTGAAAATCCGGTAGTTGATGTCATACAACAAAAATGCCAAACGGTTTGTCTGCACTTTTGTTTTTCTCGGAGTCTATGGCTCAATTGTTCAGTAGATGTTTTCATGGAAACAAATCTAAACTAGCACGACCATGATGTACAGTCGTGTGCTATATGAAGGTGAACGCCGGGCCGTCGACCGCTCCGTGCTATCAGCGCCGTGACGCGGCTGCCGTGGCACCCGCGTCATGGCGCTGATAGCACGGAGCGGTCAATCGTCCGTCGTTCACTTTCATATTGCCGGCGGGTGTACACTGCATAATTTTCGACTGCTGCAATCTTTCCCAGAAAAGCGCTTAAAAGAATTGCTCTCGTCATAGTTTGCATTGGTGGTACTAGATGAAAGACTCGTGGCAGCTTAAAAAAAACGGTATGCGAAACAACCTTCACTTCGTTTAATTACTGGACCAAATGCTCGAAAGTCATTTGCGAAGCTGTTTTTCTTTCATTTTGCAATCCGAGTTACACATAACTAACTTGTCCAAATAACAAATGTACTAATTTATAGTTCTTCTGGCTTGCAAAATATATGCCTTTTTTCAATATACCCAAGCACCAAGAAGTACCAAAAAGTAAGATGGGAAAGCAGGTACACATGCTGCGCGCGCTTGCGTTACCTGTAGAGGTATTATGAATAGTAAATGTCAAAACAGGACGTTGAGGAATGGGCGTGCTTAGTGTCACATGTTTTTGTTTTTAGATGTTGATGTTGCAGACGCCACAGCGTGCCGCGCGTGAAACCGGTCTTGCAATGCACTCGTTGTTTCTTCGATAATTTTTGGAGAAAAAAAAAAGTCTATTACAAGAGTGGTAGCCATGATGCTTTCTGAGTTTATTTTGTTTGGTCAGATTTATCGAGACAGAATCACGTAGGAAATCTTAGTTAAGACGCCTGACGTAACAAAATTCCGACGATACTTAATTTTATTATCGGAATTGCAACTGTAAGGCTTTCTATATTTGCTAACAAAGCTTCTTTCACGGAGGCAAGAAGGCGAGACAGGCTTTCATTACCAGTTTTGTGCAAACTGTTCCAAAAAAAGAAAGTTTCAGTTTCAAAAGACGTATTTTTAATTGTATGTGATCCTAGCTGATAGAACTACTTGCTCCTGGCAGTGATATTGCTCGGTGACACTATAACCATGTCTGTCAAATCTCTTAAGAGCAATCCGATAAATCCATGATTGCACACTCAACTCAAGCAACTACCAAAATTAAGTTACTGAAAGTCTTTCACGTGCAACATTTATTATCAGCCAGATAAGTAGAAAAGAAAGCTTTCGCTTACGAAGCGCCACGGAGGTACTTGAGCTTGGCGTCACAGGTCAGGCTGATGCACGGGTTAGCCAGGTTCAGGTGACCACCGTCGGGGATCACGTACTTCTTCCAGATGCAGTACTCTGGAGGCAGACAGGATGGAAGGTTATGAAGTCTATTACAAGAGCATACGAAGAATCATTGCCCCGATTATTTGCGCCGTTTATTGATGCGAAAAAAAAAAGAAAAAAACTGAACTGAACGAGCATGGCCGCAACACAGACAAGAATTCAAGAGAAAGCCGTCAATGCGTTCATCAGGACAGAGCTATTTCGCTCACACAAGAAAGGGGGAATGTCTTTAGTAGTCGTCTGAATTATTCGTCTAGACATAACCTTGAAAACGATAGGTCTAGAGTCGGTGACAGGTTACGAAGCCTGTAGGTGGTCGGTCTTCGCTACGCACTCGTTGCATATCACCCTAGCTTTGGCTGCAATTGCGAAAAAAATGTTACCAAAGGCAGAAAGCTCACGAGTAACCTGTCACTAGTTACAGACACAAAAAGTATACTCATTTATCACTCTTTCTTAGAAAAAAAAACTATCTGTCCTTGTACCTTCTGTGATCTTTTTTTTTTCTTTCTCACCCTTCGACGTTTAAGGTGTTGAAGTATGACGTAGCCTTAACTGATTGTTATCAAGTTCCTAGATCCGTGACTCCTCTCTAAGGTCCAGATACCATATAAGTCAAACGAACGAACAGAAACAACGCAATATGTTCCCGTCATGAGAATTATCGGTTCCGTGAGGAATCGTTGGAATTCTCCAACGCCAGATTTCCAGCCGGTGCAGTTGTACACAATAAGGTAACACATCATCCTTGCTGCATCCCAGGAGCTGCGCACAAAGATAACAAGGGTATGTGCTAGACCACTGCCGTACAGGACGCTTATACACCTTATACTGTTTACAAACATGAAACGCTGCTTGCGTCCTAAGCGAATTCCGGTCGCTCAGTCTTTGTATGCTCGTCGAGTTTGCTTATGTCACTAGTGTTAGAAAGCATAAATGCTGCACGGACAACAAAGTTGGAGATTTAGAGAGGGCCTTCGATTATACAATATAACATTTTGGAGGAGACAAGTTTATTTACAAGAGTATTAAAAAACGTTGGAACAGATCTCGCAATTCTTGGTTCTTTTGGCGTTCACCTTGAGAATTGTCGGTTAAATATTTCATCAACTTTTCAAGCAGCGATGTTCACTCTTGGAGCTCGCTGGGACGTCAGACTGGAGCACCGTCTTGAGGCGTTCTCAAAGAAAAGAGTCTTTACGATTCGGCTGAGCTGCACGTTCTAACGCCAACCACACGGCTCAAACACACGCAACAAGTGAGATGGTGTATAGGTAAGGAACTCTTGGCAACCAGAGATCTCCTCCTCAAGGTTACATTTCTGAGCTGTCTGCACGCGCATGCAGAGACCTGACAAAGACCTCGGCCATCGTGTAACCCGTCGTCGTATATCTGTCGCAGGTCGTCGGTAGAATCTCGGCAGCATCGGCTCGTTACCCGAAGGCCACCAGATTCATTTCAGCCTCGTACGGTTGCGCTAAGTCGCCAAGTCTTATGCAGATGACTCCAGAAACCGGTAAGGCTTCGCGACGTGGTTTCTCGTCTCAATGTCCCGGGATGTATCGTGACTGGCGTCGGTTCTTTGTTGCGACAGTGGGACCAGCGAGGAGTTTTACGCGGCACGCATACACCGAACGAGCTTTGGTTGCACAAACGGCGTGTCCCTCTCCACGGGCGAAGGTAAACGGAAAGGATTTCCGTAGCTCGACCGACCTTTTAAAATATACTTAAAGAAGAAAGAGAAAGGAGTGAGTGGCCTCCGGTTTCTTGTTACGCCAGAGCGAAGTGTTTTTAAAACATCGAAGACATTTCTGTGGGCCGAGCTTTGACAAGCTGGAAGGGGCTGGCGTATGTCGCGAGCATCTACCTGGGACTGCTTTGGAAATGGTTTGATAGGAGCTTTAGCTGCACGCGAGCGTGTCTTGGTAGCGTGAACAGACCACTTTGTTACAGGTGTTATGTATGGACTTTTAAAGTGATTTCAAACAGCCTGTGGGCATACAGAAGGGTACATCTCAGAAGGAGTGTTACACTAAAACAAATAAAGAAAATAAGAAAATAACCCAAATATAACCAGATATACGTAGATCTGACACATAGTGAAACTGCGGAATTTCCTTACAAGATGTAAACAAAATCTACGAAGTGAAAACCTTAATTAGAAAAAAAGATCAATTCGAGAATAAATAAAATTCTATCACTATAATTGCGAGAAGACTTGACGCCGAATCAATTGTTCGCGATAAATATACCAGCCAAAGGTGTATGGGTACCTTGAACATACTCACTCTAAAAAAAGTTTGTGCGTCTACTTTTACGCACAATACTCGGACAGCCAATCACCGCAACTTACGGAGGCAGCTCACCGAATGACACTGCCGAAACATATGTTTAGACCAAAAAACGCAGTCTGAGTTGTGACATTAAGCAACGCAAAACATCGTGCTTGCATTGCTTAATGTCCCAACTCAGACTGCGTTTTTTGGCCTAAACATATGTTTTGGCATTGTCATTCGCTCAGCTGCCTCCGTAAGTTGCGGTGGTTGGCTCTTCCAGGTGTTGTGCGGGAATGCAGACGCACGGGCTTTTTTTAGAGTGTAGGATGCTACATTTTTGTCATACAACAAAGAAGACTTTTGTCTTGAATGCAGTCAACACCTGATATGTGCAAACGTACAACTTCTAGCAGAAAAAAAAAGAAAATCTACAAATCAGGTTCAAGTGTGCAACACAATTTAATTACGGCGCTAATGCAAGCTCTGCCTTAACTACTACTACTACTAAGCGTTGTTATGTATGAAGAGAAGAATAGGGGGGGAAGGAGAGGGCCAATTGTGGGGATACGCACGGGCGCGTTTGTCACTGGCTCCTCTGCCTTAATCTTGTTTTACGTTGCTGTATCGTGGTCTATTTAATCGTCTTTACAAGCCAACTTACGCCTTTAAGCAGTCGAATAATGCTTCTGTAATGTTTGACTCAGTATTTCTGGACGTACAACACGATCCGTATCCGTGGTCTCAAAGGTGGGACGGTATTTTACCTCGGACCTTGAAGGAGCTGGCTTGAGTAGAGGTATCTGCCCGATCTCTCGACAGACCGACAAAAGCACCAAGGTAGTTCGTCAAATATAGAATTCAAGGATAACATGTCGTTCGTATCGAAGTGCGACGTATTGGGCTGTTTATGTCAGCCACATGGCAAGCACAGCAGCCATATCTTCGCTTCCAAGAAATCTCCACACGAGAAACAGATTGCACCCATCGGCGCTACGGGGCAAGAATATTTACCTAGCAAAGCGAAACTCTCTTAACTTTGGTTGACATCGTTCGATAATATGAATGGTGAAATGTCAACAATTTTTTTATGCCAAACGATATAACAAGACCTAAAGAAAGTCTTTCGTAGGTCGTGGCTCTTCGTTTGTTGGCAGTTGGGGCCAGTGAAACAATAGAAATACTGCCAATTAAAAGTTGTCATAGATACGAGCAGAGTAGACCACACTCTTAACCTTCACAGACAAAGCTTATTCACAGCTGCGTGCTTAAATTTACTTGCTATTGAAGCATATATTCGTTTTTGTTTCTTTTTTTTTCTGAAGCTTGCCATATATTGTTTTTGCCAAACCTCTTGAAAAACGTATCACCTTTTTCATATCTATTTAATGTAGCGAACCGGCATTAGACGCCGGTTCACCTCGTTGTTTCAAATAAATGTCTATTACGTCTATAATCACCGAGAGCTTAGGGAAGGGACGTGGTGGCGAGTCCCGAGCATATTATTATCGCGTCTTAGCCAATGAGACTGCGACATTAACCGATAGGAACGTCTAAGAACCAATCACAGACCAAGAAACGCGAGCATAAACCACACCTTGCGTTTCCAAAGCTGTCGGCGATCATAGATAATATGAACGTGAAAGCTGCCTTTTGTTTATATTGGAAAATGACACGCAAGGAGTGGTTGGGGTGTGGGCGGTGGACACGGGTTAGTAGATTGACGATCTGAATTATATGGTAAACAATGAAATAAGAAGCAATCGAACGCTCGGAAGTGATAAGCTGTCGACCCGCCTTCAAACAACTTGCCGGTGGCATGGTAGCCTCATCTTTCTCAACATTCCTTTTGTGTGAATGGCTCGTACAGAGCTAAGTAGCACGTCTAGGGTCAAGACAAAGTTAGTCCATTGTTCCTCGTCGAAGTGACCTCAAGTTAGGTGGAAGCTGGCCTCTCCTGCTGTCTGGTCCTAAGAAAGCCGTGAAGCGAACATTGTCCCTGACAACAAGGCCGAGCTGAGTAACGATGGACCTAAGTGGGTCGCAAACAACCACGACTTGGTCTGCTCGTGGCTACTTGCTTTGATGATTTTGACCGAGCACTTTAGGGACCGAGGCCTTCGCGCCTGTCCTTGACGAATGTTGATATCGACGACCTCTTATGTCGGGTACCTGCTTTTGACAGCTGGCTTCTTTTCTTTTCGTTAAAGTTGTGCGCCGGTTTGTGAAGGACGCAGGTAACTGCCTTGAAGTATTTTTTTTATTTATGATTTTTTCTATGGATATCTCGCCTATCAATACAGGTAGAACCTCATGGTTCGCCTGACGAATCATCTGGTCATCCTCTTGAGTCGGCCGCCGATTACTCAGTTAGGATAGTCCTATCATAGGCAAGCTTGTACGATGGCTGTAACGAAATTTTCTGACTATGCTGTCTTGCAGTGCTCAGGGAGTGTCAAGAAAACTTATTTACTCATGAGCTTAGCCGTTGATATAAGGGGCTGAGCCTTTACTTCCTCTTAAAGTTCAGTTTACATAATTTGATCTCAAGATTGACTAATTGCTTGATTCAGCTGCTTAGGTAATTGCTGTTCAAGATCCACTGGGTATTTGGAAGAGAACATAGCGATCAGCTGTTTTCAAGCAATGGAAGGACGGAGGCGTCATAGGCATATTTGTGCAGTGTACGGTGCCCTACGAAATCCCTCTGTCTACACGTGATCAGTCGCCGTTTGTGTAACTTTTTCTATTGGTTTATTACTTAGCCTACCTGGTAGTCTTGACTGTAAATTGAATAGTTTTTAATCTTTGACATAATCAAATCACTTTCCACCCTCTTCCAAATTTGCGCTCTTCAATTTAGGAGTTCAGTTAGGGTCGTCTGGATACAGGCCTGGTCATAGTGACCTAAATTGTATTGTGGGGCATCGTTCATGGCTTTCACGGTGCAGGAGACAGTGGTGCCTTTGCACACTTGAATATACTTTTGGTGTATAATTAGTACCTTATTACCATTGCTGCAGAAACGTACTTGCATCAAGATACAAAGTCATGCTACTTGAATATAGGGCCAAAATACAAATATTTAATAACACTAGCGTTACTACATTTATAGGAACGTAACTTAAAGCAAAAAAGAAAACGAAAACCGGTAGGGCTTTCCACAGCGTACTTTTAATTATTGTGTCATATGTTGAGCGGCACCTGTTTTGTTTCGAACCAGAATGATAAGAATTGAGGATGCACAATTTTGTCTTCCGCGAACATTTTTTTCTCAGCTAGGAGAAGGCAGGAAAATAAAACCCTGGACCCTGTTGTGACCCAATTTCAATGTTCTATGGTTGCGTACATTTCATTAAAGTAAACAAAAGAACAAGACATACAAAAAAGTAGCGCGTAAAAGACGAGACAGAAGAAGCAAAACAGAGGACGAGCGCTAACTTGGTACTAAAAGTTTTTTTTAAAAGAATTCTACCGAGCAAACATATCTCGCGCACACACATGTGGCACATCACACCTATCTTGGTGAATAAAGACGACACAGCGTCCATACGAAAAAAAACCAAGTTACTTTAATGATTAAAGGCGGTGATGGAAACAATGTTGTCCTGATCCATGCATATGTGCACTACACAATAAACAGCGTGAGTAATGGAAAGGGTGCATAAGCTGTAATAACACCATACCTCAATAAGAGCATAGCCTGCGCTCTACGCATCCAGAAACCACAAAATCCCCGAAATCTACCGATGAAATCCTACTCTTTTTTCATTAAATGAACAGATGCCACGCTGATACACGAGCCTCGGGCACAGTTGTATCTGAGCCGTCTCTAGCATTTCCCTTTCCAACCTTCCGCTTCTACGCCCCGCCATTGCACACCGTTCTGTCTTTTCTATATACGCCCTACCACAACTCAAGGGGATCTTAATTCAGTGGCACAGGGCACAAACTGGCTGGCATGCCCCTTACCACACAGCGGCAACCTGATCTTTAATCCGCTGACCATTGCTCACATGTTAGACAACTTGCAAGGGGCCATATCCTGCGCCACTGGAGTAGTTTATAGCATTCCTTTGAAATGGGTGTATATAGGGCGAAGCGGATGCTGTCTTAACGACAGAATGAGAGCTGAGAGCATATGCTGCCTCACTTACCAATGACTTTGGTTCACATCTGGCAATGCACTGCACTGCAAAGCTTGTGGATGTTCACCTTGATTGAACGGTGTGCGCGTGGCGGGGCGTAGAAAGGTGAGGTTGCAAAGGGAAACGATAGAGGCGGTTCTGATACACGAGTGTGACCAAGACTCGTGCATTAACGTCGCATCAGTTCATTCAATGGGAAAAGAGTACGATGTTATTCATAGAGCTTAGGCCTTTTTGCGGTTTTCGGTTGCTTAGAGTACAGACTGTTTCCTTATTGCGGTTTGGTTTTAATGCACTTCATGCGCCCTTTCGGTCTTTTGTATGGACGTTGTGTCGTCTTCATTTATGAAGATAGGTTTGACGTACCTTTTAACTGCAAGTTCGCGCTCGTTCTGTGTTTTTCTTCTCCTGTGTCCCGTCTTTTATTCGCTACTCTTTTACTATGTCTGTCAGCGACGAAGTAGAGAGTCAATCCACTATTCTAAATTAAAAATTAAAGAGGTTTCCCTAGGAACAAAGGATACCTCAAAAGATGACTTTGCAATATTAATAATAAAAACGCGTTAGACGTAATATAAGTTAATACGGACGAACCTAAGCACCCGCACCCATACGTAAGCCTCCGGACAGTGAAGCCTGTCTTTCAGCCACGCCTAAGCATCCAAACTAACTTCCATCCACATTGCTACCACCGTCTGCCCATCTAACTTCATGGAAAATGCAATCATTAACATTTTTTTTAAACATTTCTAGTTCAGTTCTGTTTGTAACCTCACCCTTATGTAAAACATCTGAATATGCTTTTTAAGGTACTAAACTGAAGTGAAGCAATTCCCCAGACCTGTGCTTCCTAATCGTAAAAATATTGATCGTGAGCAAATCTCTAACGGACGAAGAGTATCTAAATGTGAACGCACGTGAAACAAGGTACACATCTCAAAAATATTTTTCATATTTTACATGCGTTCAAAATAAGTTTATCTCTGGCCCTTGAGCAAGGTTTTCCCAACAAGATAGGAAATTTCCCACGGTTCGGCGATACAGCTCCACATAAGTAGAGCAAAAACAAAGCAGCTTAGAAGCGCGCGAAAGTCACTTACTGTTCTTAACGTCCACGCTCTGCACGAAGACGGCGGCCGACGTTAGCGCAGCCCCAATGCACAACAACACGAGCACGGCTCCGACTAGCTCCTTGGAGTTCATGGTGAAGCGAGGTACAGGACGCAGCAACCGCTCAGACGAGACTACTCCGAGGCGATGTCGCTTTCTTTAAAACCCTTTTTGAGAACGGGCGCTGACGTTCGAAACGTTTATAAGCCACGCCACCCTCCGACGTGACACCTAAACGCAAAGGACGCTGTGGGTCGCGACGACCAAACCGGATTGTCGGCGCTACCGCGGGTCTTGGGGATTCCCCTTCCCCCTATGTTGTATGTTTTTGCCTTTTTGGTTTTGGTTATGTTTTTCTCGAGTCGGAGCAAGAGAGAAGGGGAATATCGGGCGAGGGCGTAGGAGTGTTTGCATTCCTCTCAAGGCGATCACACGCACGCACCGATCAGAGACAGCCATGGCGTCTGACCGTGACGTCGTGTGACGTTGTCGGTTCCCGCGGCGCTTTCTGACGCCTGCCCACGTGTGGCTGGCGTCTGGTCGGACTGGTGAAGTTTTTGGCTCGAGTGCCGGAATTAAACGATTGGACGCCGGACAGAGCAACTTGGGTGAGCGGCGCGTTGACGCAACACCACCCTCAAGACCTAGGGTCAAGAGATGCAGTGGTAGAGTGGAACTTGGAAGTCAGGTGTCACCTAGCAAGAACGCCGGGTTTGGTAGCTTCTTGTGTCTTATAGTTACGGTATGAATTTACGCAATGGTCGTCGACGCTGCCCTGCGTCCTTGAGGTTCCATATTGCTCTTGAAAGAACGCCACTTGTAAAAGTTAATGCCTCTCCTAAAGACCCGCATCGCTTTTAAAGACCTACACCCATACTTAACTTCCAATATAATTTGTAAGTGTTGGAATAGTCACAAAGAGGATTTTCACAAAACAATATTGCTACTTTTAAGCATGTTGAGTCAGGAGTACTTCCAAAGATATACTCTATTCAGAGATCGACGTATCGTAATAGAAAGTAGTTACGGAATCGCTTCGACCTCAATATATGTTCCTTCACGTAAATATTGTGGCAAAAATATTTTGCGGGAAGAATACATTTTGTCAGATAGGTCTGTCCAGGTACTTAAAATGTTATTGGGAGTTAAGTGCTAATTTGAGGACCGATGCGCCAAATCTTCGACCAGGCCGGCTTCTGCTTAGAATACGTGAGTCGGCGTTGCAGATTTCGCGTTAAAGCACGGCGGGATGACTCCAGAGACTGACGGAAGGAACTAATCCCCTTATGGATGCATTCACACTGGTGTTCGAATCGCAACTGCAAAGCGGATCCGCTCGTTTTTGTCATCAAATGCGCGTGAAACTACACTGAATCTTTGAGCAACCGCGTAAGTAGCCGGTCTGTCATTTCAGTTCAACTGCCAGTATAGAATAAGGCATTAGAGAGTTGAACTTGTTCTATAATCTGTCAATGTATAGCCACAAACGGACTGGAAGCGCGCGCTCTCTTTCTCTTCTTACGGCCTTTGCAATCGCCTGGGAGTCAATGGCATTTTTTCTCCGTATGTTGCCTCCAGGGGCGCAACCTCCTCACCCCACTTCACCCCACTCGGAGAGTCCCTTCCAGCTGCTTTGCGCTGGTGTTTGACTTCGTAGGTTGTTCTTTTGGCAACGGTTCATCACAATACTTCTGATTAACCATGCAAGGACGGTCCCGGACAGAAACGAAAAATCAGCTGGATATGTGCACAAGCCCTCGAGGAAGCACTTTAGGCTGTAATATGCACTGTGCGAAAATTGTGCAGAGTACTCCACCCTCGCCTAGAGCAGCTCACCGACTTCATGTGCGGCTTACGAAATGACGATGCAGACCACGGCAATAGATAGATTGGGCCTGCTTACATTTCACGAGAGTGTACGAATTATTCATCATTTAAAGTTCCTTCACGTAGAAGGGGTCCGTATCATCCTGTTCTTGAGTAGCAGCAGAAGTCCTGGAGGTAAAGACGAGTATAGTTTTTCCGTAATTGCATTCGCTGCCTCTACTTACTACTTTTTACTCCCGAATATCCCGGAGATGTGCGTCAAATATTCACCGTTTTGGGCTCATCAGAAGCGCATTAGATAGTGGCTGAGGCTCTAAACATGAGGATCAGGTGTCAAAGGCTATAAAAATCTCGGCCGCAAGTTGCGACAGCGTTGAAATACACTGTCAGACGCGCTTTGTGCAAACGGTAAACGGTAGCCCAGGGGTGAGGTGACAGCGCCCCCTGCGAATTGCGGCGGGAGATGGCGATAGCCCCAATTGCAAAGGCCGTAAGAAGAGAAAGAGAGCGGGCGCTTCCAGTCCGGCCGTGGTAGAGCACATGTGACAAAGCCCCATTAGCGGAACTGGCAGGAAATTGCTTATCTTTGCTATTTGCTCGCGAGACGGAATTATTTCTTTCAGAGATGCGACATTGAGCGACCGGGTTAACCCTTGTTTGTTTAGACCGAAAAAAAAAAAGAATTTGTTTAACATAAATGAGACGAACATCGTTCATTTTTTTAAAAATCGCTGCTTCTTTTTTTTGTTATCCTAGACATTGTGATGGCACTGCGGTGTCATAAACCCTCTAGACCAGGGGTGAGCAAACTGCGGCTCTTCGCATGTTAAAGTGCGGCTCGCGGCACACCTCCCCTCCCCCCCCCCTCCCCCCCCCCCCCCCACACACACACACACTTCCCCAAAACGAGAAATGGACCGCGTTTTAAATCGAAAGACAGGTTGCGATTTGGTAGTCTTGTGCTACTCCTATTTTACGTAGAGTTGGACGCCTTTTGACTCGCATATATTGAAAGTAGTTAGACTTTACATTATTGCTCTGGTCAAAAGTTTGCCTTGCCGCGACGCCGCATCTACATACAGCTCAGGAAGTCGCATTTTCGAATCCTGTAATTCGCTATAGTTGCACCCACTCCAGCCCTACACGCCAAGAAACTGCAAAGAAAATCAGAGCAATGGAGTGCCGACACCCTCGGCGTAAAGTTTATTTATAGTGGGCACTCGCTATTTGTTTAGTGGGTGGGAAGGCGCACCTTAACGAGGCCGTATTTGTCGGTGAGCGTGCCGTAGAGTTGCGAGACGCGTGAGTGGGTCGCTTCCGAGCACATGTTGACAGGAAACGACGTGAGGTCACGCTGGGAGAGACTTTTTGCAATCTACCAGGTCTCGGTGACTTAATTTATTACCCAAACACGGCAATCCCGCGCATTCAAACTACTTTCAAGTTTTCTGTTTTTTTTATTTTTTTTTATTTTTTGGTGCACCGAATGAAACGATGCGCACATCTCGACAACATAAAGATGTCTCAGGAATCAAGCGACGCACAATATATTTAAGCCTTAGCTTGGCTCACTTGGGAAAAAAGACTTCTCATCCTCCAAAAACAGCGAAACAACGCATTTTGTTTAGTGAAAGCCGTTGTTGACTCATGTGCAAGTAATGATCCTTCCGCTTAGTTAAAAAAAAAAAAAAGAAATAGGGCGTATCTAAACACAAAGTAAGAGCGCAAGCAAGCGGCTTCTTCGCTTATTTCTGTCTGGAAAGACGTCTCCTGTACTCTACTTTTAGCTCGTGTGCTGTGTTTGGTCTTTTCTGTTAAGATATTATTTAAGCACCCACTCGCCGAATAAATTTAAGCTGTGTTCGAGACTTCCTGTTTGGGTTGTCCTTCTCTAGCCTCGGTTTCGGGGCTCTTCGTAATTATGGCCCGTCTGCGAAAAATCTGCAGTGCGCTTGTCCGTTCAAACGACTTCGCAACCTGTTTAAAGAGCAACTAAAAAAACTTGTAATAAAACCTTGCTTGGGGCTAGTTAGCTCACATCGATTAAAAGGTTACAAGGAGCGAACAAACAGGACGAAAAAAGACACACGTACGACACGGCGCCTGTCCGTGTCGTACGTGTGTCTTTTTTCGTCCGGTTTGTTCGTGCCTTTGAACCTCTTAATGAAAGGACTTCAGAGCCACCTTCGGAGTGACACTGCTAATGCATCATAGAAAAGACTGTCTGCAGACTTATAAAAACAAGCCTGCTTCATATACGCTCGAGGAACGCGCGCGGATAATTTTTGACATCGGCGAATCTCGTCGATTTTGGATTATGTCTGATCACGCAGCGAATCTCGTCGATTTTGGATAATGTCTGATCACGCAGCGAATCTTGTCGATTTTGGATAATGTCTGATCAGTGTGACTGGAAGTTTATAAAAATCGTCGAATCTCCTCGCGAGCTCGACTCTGGGGGTATCCCACGGCGAGCGCTGGGTCGCCAACGTTTCGAAGAAGTTCCCTCTGTAAGGCCGTTGAATTCTCCTCCCCGTAAAAGAGAGGTAATAACCTTTGGATAACGACTCTATTTTACCCAGTTGTTGAAGACAGTTCTGAAAGACGAGGAAAGAGACTGTATAGTGCCGATTGTCGGCTACGTTTTTGTTTTGCTGAATTAGAGGAAACACGGTAACGGTCGAGGCCAAATGAAGACAAACGAACGGGCGTATATCTACACGATTGAGTGGTAGTTGATTTACGTAAAACTCGGGTATACGAATGATTTTTTTTCTGAGTTTCTGAGGTCACAAAATGGCCGCGGGAATTCGTGCCAGCTAATTTTAACGGAATCTCAAATGAAGCGTATATGTCCCTCAAGGTTTCTGCTTCGTATCTGTGAGGGTGCGCGGTGGAAACGGCGTGCTCCTGGTTCCCCATCCTCCCTCGCCTAATCTCTATACTTGCGGCTTTTTTTTCTTGTTACGACAGGTAAAAAATAAAGAAGAAAATATGACGAAAATGGACGAAAATGGCATACAAAATGCAATAAATTAGCTGGAGCCCACGAACGGTATTTCCGTCGAAAAGACCCAGTAGTGTTTTCAGCAGTGGAGCAACGTATGAACGAGCGTACCCAATCACGTGTACAGGGATTCGAACGAAACTTGAGCCGCTGACAGGAGGAAAACGGCAGGGAGATATTTCAGCTGTCCCACTTCCAGTGATTTTCTTATCTTCGACGGTGCTTTGGCTTGTCGTGAGCTCCGACACTGCACGCGCAGCCAAAGCATGACGGACGTTAACGAGTGCGTGCTTAGGCGGAATTCGAATCGTGAGTACATTTATGATTCAAAGAATGTTTTAAGTTTACTCCAGGGTGCACTGTCGCATGCACCGCATTTTCCGGTCCGCACCCGGTGTCTGCAGGGGCGAATTCCGGGTCAAAATGT